AAAAGCAAAGTATCTTGGGGGGCTGGGAGCGGGTGGGGGAGCCGCAAGAAGGGAGGGAGAGAAATCCGCCCGGCAAAGCAAAATCCACTGGGGTCCCATCGAGGAGTTTCTTTTCTATTCTTTAATTTGCTTGCTTCCGTTGCAGCAGCCGCCCCTCACCGCCCCTTCTCTCCTTCTTCCTTGAAGTCCTTGGTGGAGAAAAAACACAGGGAAGGGGGGCGGGGAGGGGGGGGGGAGAAATTGTTGCAACTTTGCCTTCTCGTACTCTGTGAATTCCAGCGCTCTGAGATATCATTAATTGCTCCCAAAGCTTTGACAAGCTAGAGACCCCTCCATTGGTCAACGCGAACTATAGCTGCCTTTCCCTATATCAAATTAAGACGGATCTCTCCGAAACAGAGCCAGGGAAGATAAAGAAACTAGACGAGATACAGAAATTTTCTTTAAAGTGCTTGGTTCCCAGCTAGGTTTCCCTGGGACACATTTGTTAAAGCATTAGCACCTCTCCGCCGTTTGAAACAGAAACTACAAACGCTGCTTTGGAAAAGCGGGGTGTTAAACTGATGAATGCATGTGAGCGTGATTTATGGCCCACCGAAGTTTTGTTTACTTGGAGCAACTCGTAATTATAAGACTTTTCCTGGAAGCTCAAGTCTTCTAAAAGTTCGACTATGCTGAGAGTGGATTCTTCCCCCCACCCCCATCAAATTCTGCTCTGATTTGCCAGATGTGATTAACAAACATCTGGCTAGTATACTTGTTTTTCCCGTCAGCGGACCCATTTATTTTGGTGGGATGGGTAAGTATAAGATCCTTCAACATTTTGTGTAAGAACAGTGGTCTCTTTGGAATGCCACTAGTTAAAACCACTAGAGGAGTTTCAGATGTTTGGGGTTTTCGAAAACTCCACCCTAACGATTTATTTTTTTAAAATGTAATTTCTCCACGAAACCCAATTTTAAAAGGAGGGGCCTGAAAAGAAAACGATTCTCTTTGGAATATATGACAGAATATTTACAAGTGCTGTTTCATTGTTCACTCTGAGGGTCGGAGTCCGAAGAATTGGTCTCTTTGTTAAGGTCCGATGTTTATTTTACGAGGGAGTTGCAACAAAACGAAGCTTATGTGGAAGAGAGAAAGACAAATTTAATTACATTTCAGATTCATTTATTTTTAAAAAATGTGATCTCTGTTCAGTTTGGCTGGTTTTTGTTAGCATCCCTTTGTACTCTGATAATAACTCGGTTCCTGGGACAATTTGTTAGCTATAAAAATGCCCCCGTACATTGTAAACCCGGAAAAGTTTAGATTCAATGTCTAATATTTCCTGGGGCAAGCTAGGGTATATTGCCAGAGAGCTGCACAAGCGTCTGCTTTTTTTTCCCCTGAAAATTGCTTTGCATTAAATTTCCTCCGCTCCAGATTTATCTTTACTCGCCTCCAGCTAAACTTGAAATTCCTTTTTTAACCAAGCGCTTCTTGGTGTGCTGGCGAATAAAATCTGAGGAGAAGCCACAAAGCTCTAAATGACCGTAATTTAATTGATTTTATCATAAATCATCAACTTCATGAAGAGCCAAAGTTTTCATTGAAGTAAATTAATATTAATGGACGGTTTTTTGAGATTCCAGCTCTTCCTTTAGTTGGAATATAGATAGATAGATAGATAGATAGATAAATAGATAGATAGATAGATAGATAGATAGATAGATAGATAGATAGATGGGTGTGTATGAGGATAAATAGATAGAGATATAGATAAGGATAGAGATTTGAGACTCTTGATTTGAGTCTCATTCCTCTCGCCAGACTCTTCACAAATTTGGGGGAATCTTATTTTTCTTGCCTTTGTAAGGATCAAATCTTAATTAGGCAACTCGGCAATTTTTAATCACAGAAATAGGGATCGGATGATTCTTGCTGGATGGTTGAAGACAAGTGTGTTTCTTCAGAGAGTCTTACTTAAAGCATGGTGTGTGTGTGTGTGTGTGTGTGTGTGTGTGTGTGTGTGTGTGTGAAAGAGAGAGAGAGAGAGAGGCACAGATATTATAGTATGATCTAGTGGCACTACATTTGTGTTAAACAGCCACGATAATGCTATTGTTGCATTTCACCTTTCAAGTGTTTGGATTCATTTCACTGCTAAGCAGGCATTAGCAGGAACAGATTTAAACACCAGACCACGAGCTTAAGTGCCGAGTTCCATCTAAGTACCCTCTACGAGAAGGACATTGGAACCGTGTGAAACAGTTCTGTCCCGAAGTCTTTCCCTTCGAATTAAAAATTAACTAGTGAACGAAAAGACTGCTATGGAGGCTAGCCTTTTGATATGTTGATGAGTATGACAGGCCAAAGACCCTAAACACAGTATCACAGTATTTTAGTCCCACCCGTGATCTGTATGGCTCACTGGCCATGCTCCGTTATGCATGTACATTAACACGTGCATGTGACTGTACACATCTACATGCTATGTGCATACGATGTGTGCTCAGCTAATGTATGTGTGGTATGTCATAAAACCACTATGTAATGAGTATGCAGAATGCGAATATATTCTCATCGTATCCAACTACGCAACATCTATAGAGTGCTCCGTAGGTCGGTGTGTTTGATCTAGTGTATTTGTAGGATACAATAAATGAATTATACCATGACATCGCAAAAGGAGAAAATATTCTCCTTGTATCTAGTTAGACAATAGGCTGCACGAACACGGAGAGTCCCAGAAATGTAACTCCTGCACAAAACCCTCCCCTCTTTTTTCCTCTCTCTCTGACATTCCTCCCTCGGAAATGGTTACGTCTCCGCATGTGACATCAAATTAAGGCAGGAAACA